CATCTAGGCAAAAAGTATAGTTTTACAAATTTTTCATCAGCGGTTAATCATTGTTATACAACCATTAGAAATCTGGAAGCACTGGACGACCGTTTCGTCCTGGTATGGGACTCATCAGCAGTGCTCATCCACGACTCCTGCACCTCGCAGAATTCGAATCCGGGACCTTCGGTCTTGCGCACGAACGCCTAACCTCTGGAGCACGGTGTTAATATCTAACTCTGATTGATCTAGGGATTTTGCGTGACCTCACTTATTTGTTTGTATTCGGTGGTCTAAAAATGATTGATTGATGATTTCAAATGTGTAAAAACAATAATCTCTATAATTCTGATTGAGAAAAAATTCAGTATCGATTTGTATGCATGCATAATAACAACTTATTTGAGTTAATTTTTAAATTCCTAAAATTTTATTGAAAACAGTTTTAACATAAGGAAATATGTTTAGTACGGTGATTTAATTGAAAATTGATATTTTCCAGTTCAGAATTATTCAATGGATGTAAGTAAAAATTATAATTTACATTATAATTTAATCCTAATTAGAAAACTACTGAAAACCAGTAAATACTAGACAATTAGTACATCCTTAGTGTCTATCACTCAAACTTTTCAAGTCTCTCAACGTTACCACTAAATTAGCATTGTATTGTCTTAATTACGAATATTAGTCAATTCATGTTATTATAAGAATATTATTTACTACTATTGGTCATAGTATTTGTTAAAAAATAGACATAGTTTAATTCCATTGAATATAATTTTTTTCTCTTTTAAACCTTATGCATTTCACCTCAAAATTTGTCACTACTGTGTACACATGATTGTGATTATGAGAGCGGTTTTGCGACAATCATTGATTTGAATGAATTAAACAGATTTCAGTATGTTAGCTCAATGAGAAATTACTACTTTGATTATCCCAATGATTAGATTTTTTTTTAAAAAAAATAATTCAGTGTGCTTGAAAACAAAATCTAATTTAATAGTTGGTTTTCTCAATATAACCAATGCATTATGTTCGATTAAATTTATAAATTTTACAAAAATAAAACATTGATCACTGAACTTTCATGACATGTCATAAGTGGAACTACGACTTGTTTTATATGATTTAGAAACCATTTTTTAATGAAACATTCAACATACACAGATGTAGTGATAAAGAAAAACTTTCTCTAGTTGTACAAATTGAAATATCAACGTAATAATGAACATTTTTAAAATGTGTTTCTAATAACTGTTGACCAATTGGCCTTTAAACTGTTGAGAGAGAAAAGAAAGGAAATTCAAAGACTTTAATTGTCATTTCAACTAAGAAAGAAAATATTAAATAGTTTCATAATTTTTAGTATATCTTTGACAATCAGCTATTCAAGAAACTGATTTTTTAATTCAACACCATGTGAACGGTGTCAAAATTTCATAGTGCTGATTATCAACACAATATTTATTTCGATTAATTCAGGTTTAATATTTTGGTAAAATAATAAATTTTGCAAGATAATATTTGACTAAACGATATGTTGTTGAATAAAAAAAATATTCAAAATTATTGCTATACAAGTGTTCAAATCATAAAGCGCTGTTTTTAATTTCCCAAACAACTTTTTATTACTTACAAAACTTGTTCGTAATCAACACTAAGTGTATTGAAGTAATTTCTAACTCTAGATAAACTATTGTCTTATTTATAAATGTTAAGAAGAATAAATTTATCTAATCGATTATTAAATGTTTAAAAGTTGATTTTTCAAAATTCCTTTTGAATGGCATTCATTTAAAGTTTCCCTAAAACAGTTACATCAATGCATATTCCTTTTACTAAATGACAGTTCTGTCATGATTATGTAAAGAATATCACATTTTGACATAGAGATTGAATGAAAGCTTCTTCTGAAATTCCGTAACTCTCCATGTTTAATTTCTTATTGAATCGATTATATATCTTGATTAAAAGATGTCATTATAACTCACCTATTCATTGCTCTTCAATTTATAGTAGTTCTGTAGCTGATATCTACCAATTAATTTGTTCATTAAAATTCTCTGAGTAAATCACAATTTACTTTGATACTTATTACTATGTTTTCGATAAAAATTATACTGTAGTGATGAGATGACCAGGGTAAATACAATGATTTCAAGATCACGGTAAACATTTTTTATTGTGAATGATCTCCATAATTAAACATTTCGTGAAAAGAACAATGTCTACCATATTGGATTCTTCAACCGTTCGACACTTAACTAAGGCTCATGAATAGCGAACTCTGAAAAATTAGGAAGGGTTTCGGACACTCATTTGAATTTGTTGGCCAAATGTTTACCCCAAGCCAAAATTTAAAATATGGGCATACTGGCGCCCAATTACGGTTGTATTTTTCAACCTTAAGGTAGCGTTTGATTTCTGTGATTGACATATTTCGTGTCAGTATATGACAACTGGGGGTTTGCCAGGAGCAGCATAACAAACTTGCATGGACTCTATTCACAGACACCATTAATCGAGTCAAAGTATACGGAGAAGTACCACTAGAATCGATAACAATGAGTGGTTCTAGTAAGAATTAAACACTTTCCTATTGTTTATTAAACGTCGTCGTAGACAGACCCTAAAAGATTATTCTACGCTTCTCTAGATTTTCACTGAATGATTATCTGCCAGAAAATTTACTTTTTGACTTAGAGTACGTCGATAATATAGTCCTATATAATGAAGACGCTGAAGAAATTCAGTCTCTTGACTGTTTTCATTAGAAATACAGACGTGTTTGGGATGTATTTCACCCCTTTCAAACAAAAAATATTGTTTCAGGACTGATCTAAGTCAAGTGATAAGGAATGAAGTAGTTGAGTGTGTTCATCAGTTCACTTTTCTTGGAAATCTCACCAGCCATGTCACGTTTGTATCTAGAGAAATCTCTACATAGATTAAGAAAGCTTGATTGTTTTATTCCAACCTTCATCACTTGTGGTGTCAGCTGGATGTCCATCTAACCAGTAGCTTTTCTCTCTTTCTTAATATATGGATATCAAACACGGTCCTTAAGGACAGATGATATTATTAGATCATTAGTATTTGACTGAGGTTTTCAGGGCATGTATCGCATATGTTCGGTTATAGACGAAGTTCACTGTTGTAGGAATGGGTCATTAAGCTAGGAGTGGTTAAAATAAAATATGCTATCAGTCCATAGGTTAGGTTCTTGATGGAACCGTTGGTGCATACTAATAAAAAATCCCAAACTAGAACGTAAAACTTCACGACTGTTTAATTATGGTCACCTTGTAATGTTAAACTACAAATTTCAACAATCTCCACAAAGTCGCCATACTAATATCCCTGTTCCTCATTGATTATTAAACTTTTGTCAACACGATGGTTGACAAGTTGTTGAAAGTGATCATTTAATTACTGACAACTTTTTACAGTTATTATCAGATTAGTTTTTTTCACTCTTCGATTATATAGAAAACCAAGATTGTGAGATTCAGATGCATTCAGCCAAAGACACGTCCTAAATAGGATGAAACACGCTTATCCTGGATTCTCACCACTAATCACTATCCATCTCTGATTAATAATGTTAGAATGTTAGTTTCATTTTTATTTTTTTTTAAGTGTTGATTTCTCTCAATTTGATCATTCGACTATGAAAGTTTTATTGTTCTCCGAGAATAGTATCATCGAGATGATCTTTTTGTAAAATAATCAGATGCTAATCACGTTGAAATGATGAATTATTGATGAGTAGTAGAAACACACTTCATAATCTTATCCATTTTCAAAAGATAATTCCATCACAAGCTATTTAAAGAGCTTCACAAATGTATTTATTATATTTGTGACTAGTAATCATAATGATACTACTAATTATTATCATATATATATATATATAGTATTATATACAAATGGGCTATGTATGTTCTAATGAATTGACAAACATGTAACAATGTGTGTAGTGAAGAGAGTTTTGTTTGATTAGAATTTCATGTGTAGTCAATTAGAAACTTAGGAATGAGATTTATACAAATAGATAGAGAGATGGAGTATAGTTTCATAACTATAGAAATATATAAATATCCAGGTAAAATACTTTGACATGGTGTTATTGAGTTGAAGAAAATGTTTGTTTATTTTTTCAATGGACATATTACATTATGGTTGAATAGGGGGGTTAAATAAATTTCGAATAATCATGATAATAATGTTGTTGTTGTTTTTTCTTTCGGGTTAATCGATATTTAAAAATGTCAAATTTTAACAGATTGGAATAATGATAAGAGAATACTATCTACTATGCCTATTTTAAAGTAGAAGTAATGTAAAAAAAGGAAACATTTATAGTGTAGTGAAGTAGATAAGGAGAGAAAATAAACAAAAAGAAAATATTGTTTCAATAAACAAAAATCAATAAAATTACAAATGGAATATTCATCTTCATGTTGTTCTGTTGTCTTTTTTGGTTAAAACAAAATAGATCACTTTTAATTACAATGTGAAAATATTCAATGAAGACTTTTTCTCTTCTTTTTTGTTGATAGAAAATGCTTTCCAGTAGGAGTAGAGGTTGATGCTGGAATTTACTTCTTCATCTTCTTCTCTGTTGTTTTGTCAAATTGTCATATTCACAATTTGTGTATTGTTTGTTTCTCTTCGATATAATCAAGTATTTTTCTTCTCTTCATAATTCAATTTATCTATGTACAAAATGATAATACAAATCAATGTCTACTGTCCAAAACAATGCACCAACAATGTATATTTGATGGTATGGGCTGTTATTGTTGCATGTTTATTCATTTGATGAAATGTTTTATGTATATATGCATATATGTATATATACATGTATGCATAGATAGATAGATCTCTTTCTCACCCAGCTGTACAAACGTTTTTCAATTTACTTAACAAAATCAATAATAACGAACAATTGATCATTGATTGCATGTAATGAGAAAATCAAACAAACGAAAAGACTATAATTTTGTTAGTTAATTCTTTTGTACATTGGAAGAGGATTCATTCAAGTGATCTCGACTACCGGTATTATAACTGGTCATACTACCTAGTTCAGTAATATTAGGTAATATTCTATGACTGGAAAAACAATGTGAACGTTGTTGTTGATCATGGTTGGAATGGTGTGGTTGCGGATCAAGACGTTCCAACCATGATGATGGTGTATTTCGATTGACATGAAATTGTGACAGTATATTGTTATTGTTATTATTTCGTCCATGAGCATCACATTGTAGACTAGATGTGTAAGATGTGCTTATATCATTTCTTGCAATATCCACTGGATCACATTCATTTCTATACATTGATGACCATGCTGATGAAGCAGATCGAAGTGTTGGATTTTGTACATTGTTATTTTCGTGATTATTGTTTTTATTTAACCAACCTGTATGATGATATGCATTGTTTAAATGTTGTGGAAATAATGGTTGTGAATGTTGAAGTTGTTGGTGGCGGTGTTGTTGTTGTTGTTGTGCATGAAAATGTTGATGATGTTGATCCATACTTGATGTTGTATTTCCATTACTACCATAATATGCTAATTGGGATGCTGCATAATTGGCTGCTGCTACAGCTGCCATCATAGCAGCTGCTGCACCATGTGGATTACCATTTGCTATTGAAGTTGATGTTGTTATACAAGGGAAATTAGCATTACTATTATTACCATTATTAGCAATATTTATAGTACTATTGGTAGCAGTAGTAGTAGTAGTAGTAGTATTAGTAGTATGATTGATATTATTCATGATTGGTGTACTCGATCCACTGCGTCCAATTGAAAAAGGTGGTGGAGAATCTAAACTTGATCCGCCTGTTTGATTTGATCTAACGGTTGATTGATTAACAAGTGATCGTTGTTCAGTTGTTTTCATCTGATTCATCATATTTCCATTGCTTGAGTAAAACATGGACCATGGCGTGTTGCCTAAACGTTGCATAATGGCCATGGAATTTGGATTATGAACTTCGGTATTTTGTTCAGACGTTGTATCGCTTGCAGCTGCGGCAGCTAAAGCCGCTGCAGCCACAGCTGAAAATGGACTAGACATATCGGTTGGTAATAACTGTTGACCGGAACTATTATTATTCATTATAATAGATGATGTGTTTTGAAAAAGTTCCAATGATTTATCTTCATTTCTATTTAGAAACGGAGAAGGATTGCATTGATTTGTGAATAAATTTTGTTCCAATGTATAAATTGATTCTTGTCCTGCTAACAGTCTAGAATAGTTACCACTATTACTACTACTACTACTATTACTAACACAATTACTGCTACCGGTAGTATTACGGTTGTTGTTGTTGTTGTTGTTGTTGTTATTTGTAGTAGCATCTCTGTATTGTCCAGAAATCTGTCGACCAGCATATAATGATGACTGTGAACAAAATGATGTACGCTGTTCATATGGCGTTGTGGTAGTAGCTGATGCAGAAGCTGATGCATTTGTATCAGATCCGAATAGTGTTTGTCGTAAACTAACATTTTTATCATTCAGTTGAAATTCACTCGTACAATAAGGCATCATCATGTTGGACTGTAAATAATTTGTTGAAAAATTATGTGAATTATTTGATAAGTTTACTGATTGAAAATCAAATGATTGTTGTTGTGATCCAGGCAATGATGAATTATTATTATTATTATTATTATTTACTAAACCAGTAATCGGATGCGGTATATCATTTGTTGACTGATTCACTGATAAATATGGATGAGATAATGATGATGATGACGATGATGATACACGTTGATGAGATGAATTGAATAATCCATGTAAATGTTGTTGTTGTTGTTGTTGTTGTTGTTGTTGATAATGATGATGATGATGATGTTCATGTTTATGAATAGGTTGACCAAAATGATTTTGTGTCTGTAATGATGATGTGGTTAAAGGATCAAATAAGTTGGGAATATTTCTACTTGAATGAGTCAGTGGTACACTTCCAACACTAGGAACACCACTAATACGTGAACCAGATATGGTATTGTTTAAATAACCACCCATAATTGAAGCTGTCAATGAAGAGGAATTCTTTTTTTGCCTGTCCAATGGTTTATGCTTACGTCTTGGTCGATATTTATAATCGGGATATTGTGCCATATGATTAGCTCTTAAACGTTTTGCTTCATCAATAAATGGCTTTTTATCCGATTCACATAAACTTTTCCACATTGAACCAAGACGTTTACTTATTTCAGAATTATGCATTTTAGGATTTTCCTGTGCCATACGTCTACGTTGACCACGTGACCATACCATAAATGCATTCATTGGACGTTTGACACGATCTTCTTTCCTATGATTATTGATATTGTTGTTGTTAGACGAAGGAGTAATATTTATTCGGGATGATGTCAAATCGGAGTCATCCTAAATGTGTGTTTTTTCAGAAAAAGAAATGGAAAATAGAATAACATGGTTATATGTATGACTGAGTAATGATAAGTAATTAATGTTTTAAATTATCAATATCATGATAAGAGTGGTTTCTAATTTATGTAAACAATATCGGTACGATTCATTTGTACTGATTGTTTGAATTTTTCCATTGATGTATAGAATTGCGATTGATCAGTCTCTTTTTTGCATATTTGTGCATCCTGTCCAGATTGCTTCGATATAACCATAATTATGACACTGGTTGACATGGAATAGATAGTATGTGGTTAGCAGTGGAATCGAGGATGCGTGCTTCGTTCTTTTTGGGACTCGTCAGCTGGATTTATTCACCTCTACTCATAATGGCTGTAACCTGAAGGTAATATCGAGGCAGTGCACAAAGGACACATATTTTCTGAAAAGAAACTGATTGATTGTAAGATTCAAACAATCCATACAAATGAATTGAACACTTCACGCTATAGTACAAGTCCGTGGCTATCTGGACTTAGTAGTTAAGCGAATAATGCAATGAAATTTGAAGCGAACGGTACTGGGTTTAAGTGCCTGAGTGAACACTAACTCCGAGATGTGGATACATCGAGCTGACGAGTTGCAGATAGAATGAAACGTGAGTCCTGAATTCTACTGCTAGTAATCATCCAGCTGTGTTTGTTATTTGACATCTATTTACATTTTCAATAGTACTCCGTTATTTTAACCCAATTAATTTTGTTTCAACTCATCGAAATCTGAAATAAAGTTTGTATAATATTCAGTAAATATAATTTTTTTGTCACAAATCGATCTTTCATACAAGAAAAAAAATAACAACTCTAGGATAAATTATTCATTTTGTTCGTCATCTAATGATGATCATTAAGTAAGTAATAATGATAATAATAATAATTATTATACCATTTGTCATCTGTACTAATAAATTAACAAGAGATTTTCAAGTTTACAATTTGCCTGTCCTGATGACTATTGATGAATAATACCCTACCTATCAAATTTACGCATAAATCATAATTTGACCTCAAACAAGAATGACAAGTTAGTGCTTTTATTTTACACTTAAAATGAAAAATAAGTAAATAGAATTGAACGATAAAACAATGCAAATGAGTTTTCAATTAAAATCTCAATTCTTCCATATAAAAAAATGATTGGATAGTGTATAGTGTAAATTTTAGGGAAATATTATTACACATTGATCACAAGATGGATCAAGCCATGATCGATTTTAAAAACAGTTATCAATTTTCATGCAAAATATTGAAACATGATCCAATTAAAATAAGACAATTATATAATAAAAAGTTTTTTTATTAAAAAAAAAAAGAAGCACCAGACAACTTTGTTTCATTAGACAGGATAATTTATCAGTTTGTATCAGTTTGTAATAGAATTACGGGTATATTGCCAAATTCTCAAGTTTAAACATTAATTTAATTTAAATCTCTGAGAAAAAAAAATTCCCCATCATATTAGAATAGAGATGGAGAGAGAGATAGAGAAAGAGAGAGATGAAGTTTACTTTCATAGACAAATGAACTCACATTTATTCAGAGAAATTTCTGCAAACAATCAACCATCAAATAGTCATCCATATTCTGCTGTCTATGTCAGCTTAAAGATTCTTGAGAAATAGTAATGAAAGCGAGAATTCAATTGATAATTTCAGTTATTGCCATCATTCCTACAGTCAACATGTTTATGTGGAAATCTCAGTTGAAGTATTTTAGCAAATCACTTATTAGTTATTTTTTAATGCTTAAAATTTTTGAACACACACATGCACACACACACACACACCAACATGAAGATTTATCTGAATTTTCAATGAATATTTAAGTTGATTCGATTTTTATCCTAATACACGTTTGTTATGAGAAAACTTTAATTTATCGTATAAAATAAAATTACCCGTAAATTATTAACAGATAAATGAATATTGAATTGAGTCACATCTACATTGAAAATTCCAATGGTATCCTGCCTAATTAAGTACAAAAATCTCAATGTTTATTTTGATTAGGTTATGTGTGAATTCAATGATTGTGTAAGAATTGTTTAAGAGTAATAAACAAGGACATGACAACACTGGCCGACAATTTATTATTTTCAATATTCAATGTTCACATGATCAGCATTAATTGTCTGTTCATTGATAGCAAACAAATAAATCGGAATAAAAAATTGACAAACAAACAAAGCAAGCTCAAGTATATCACCACCAATGACCACATGTGATCCAATCTATTGAATTCCAGTGTATATTCACTGAATGTGTATGTCATTGTGTATAAGTAAGTGAACAATAAGAATTTAATTTTATAATCAAATTTGGAATTGATGATTTATGTTGTCACAGATTTTTTCCAGTTATACAAAGAATAATTGATATTTTCATATGCTTCATATCTTAATTTCTAATTAGCCTAATTCAAACAAGAATGTATATATATATATATATTTATATATATATATATATATATATATATATATATATATATCGATGAGTTGACATATACTACTCATTTTATTGGCGGTAGTAGTACTCGTAATAGTAACAAGATCAATGCAATTGGATATTGTTAACCTTAGTTGAAAAGCTAGTAACTAGGTTTCGTTTTACTTAGTTGCTTCTCTCTCTCTCTCTGTGTTACACACTTACACATGCAGACACTTCATCTCATTATCTTTGTCTTGATAGATGTGGGTTTTCTACGTAGAAAAATTTAACTAGTATTAGCAGAATGCGGGTAGTCGCCTGATGATTGACTGACTAGCTTACTGACTGACGAAATGACTGCTGAAGTGACTGAGACCTGTGACCTTTAAAATATTATTCTCGTTCATAATATACGGAATCCTTTTAGACTATAAAGGTATGGCAAAGTTGTATAAAGAAACAATAAACAGGTATATACCTAAATGTCATGGTAAACGTCATAAAATGTAGTAATTTTTTTTCATTATACTACAGCACACACATGTGTGTTCAGCTGTTATTGTATGATTACAGAAATAAACCATATTTATATCATGAGTGCATTCTCTGGTGTTAGGTCAATTGATCTACTCACTCACTCACTCACTAACTAACTTTCACTTAATTCAACATACACACCTGTATTGAAGTTTAGAAATAGTTTCTGTTGTAGCTACAGAAATCATCTCTTCCATGTCATGATCATTAATAAACACCAACCAAATGTTAATGTTTATATTTAACACATTAAGGTGAATATAAAAATGTAAATAGATACTTTTCAAATAATCATAATAATAACAGTATGGATGATGATGATGATGATAATATAATATTTGCTTTCAGTCAAATGTTTCATGTCAAAAAAAAAAGTACGTGTCCCAACGAAAATATTGTGTTGTTGATGTTGGATTTAATGAAATTCATTCCATGCAAAAATGACAATCGTCACAAATTATGAATAATAATAATAATAATAATAATAATAATAAAACACTCAAACAAACAAACAAAAGAAAAATAATTCATGTATTTATTAATTATTACATCTTCACTAATTGCGCATTTTAGTTTCTACAAAATCATCACACATAACATCAATATACTTGAAATTGCATTCATTTTTTACGCACTGATTAATGCTGCATGAAATGCTGCATACATTTTGATTTTGTTTATTTAGTGTGTGTTTTTTTTCACTAGTTGTTGTTTGTTTTTCTACTTCTAACTGGAATACATTTTATTCATTATAGAATATTGAATAAAAATTTCCTAGAAAATTATTTCACAGGAATTATTGACCACTTGAAGTGTGTTATTAAAAATGCCGCTTAGTGAAGGAAAACGATACATTTCAAATATTGTGGAAAAGTAAAAAAAAAAAAGCATGCTACTTAATTCATTTGATGATCTAGATTCAATGAAACTAATTTGATTTTTTTAGAAAAAAATATTGAATTTCGATTTAACATGTTTAAAACAATTCTTCATTGAATTGTTTGTTGATTGTTCTGTTATCATTGAACGGAATAATTGTAAATTGAAAGTTTGCAAAAAAAAGAATATTCGCAAACATTTCAACAAGTCTAAAAATATTTGGAATTACACGTAATTATGCATGATAATATACACAACATTGAACTTTGAATTAACTAATTCACTATGGGCAATTTCAGCTGAGTGTTAATAAGTTAAGATATCGTCATATAGTTTATTTGATTGAAATGATATTCATTTCAGACTAATGATAAAATATTCAATTTGTAATACCTAAAAAGATTGTTTATTAGTGAATAGAATTGGAGAAGAGTTAGTGAAATAAAATGTGTAAAATGATTGTGAAATTGAAAAATCTAGGGGAAAAAAAAGAGAAGAAGAATCAAACAATAAATGCATTCACAATGAACACATGATAATTTTCAAATTCAATACAACATAATTATCAATAGTATGTATACAATGTTACTACATGAAGATTGCATAGAATACTCTATTTTATAATAAAATTACAGTAATTTTAATTTTTCTGATCGTACAAAAAAAAAAAGGCGAAATTAATAGTAAGGCACAGTGTCAAGTTGTCATATTAGTGAAACAATTTGAATTATTCTATTAGTGATAAAAAATGTGTTGTCCATTTTACAACAGAGTACAAATTCATCAAGTCAATCAACTTGATTAAGAATTCTATGCAAGATAATAAACACAATTGTGGACAATTGTAAATATGAGACTTGTCAAGAGTGAACACTTACTACCCACTAAGGATTGACCATAGGATATTGAACGCAATGTATCAAATACTTAAAGATTTCGCAAATATGATTCGTTTGATATTTTAATGAAATGATTTAAAATTTGAAAAAAATTAATCATTCTTTTTGAAAGATATTTTTCATTTGGCAATAAATGAATTTCAACTTGTTTCAAAGGAAAACAGATTTTCTCTCTCTCTCTCTGGAATTTCGATAAAGAAACAGGAAGAATATATTTTACATTACCTACGCCTGTCAACCCTCATGGAGTATGGGCCGCTGAGCAGTATTCTCAAACCTACTCTGTCCTGGGCTCCCCTTTCCAATTCTGTCCAATTTTTGTTTATTCTTCTCAAGTATGTCTTCATTTCTCGGCGTAATGTTTTCCTTGGCCTTCCTCTTTTCCTTTTGTCTTGAGGGTTCCAAGATAGTGTTTGTTTTGTGATGCAGTTGGGTGGTTTCCGTAATGTGTTTTTTATCTACTCTCAGTGCTTCTTCCTGATTTCCTCCTCCACTGGAATCTGGTTTGTTCTCTCCCGCAGTAGGAAGTTGCTGACGGTGTCTAGCCAACGGATGAGGAGTACTTTGCGTAGATAACTGCTAATGAACACTTGAGTCTTCTGGATGATGAATTTCGTAGTTCCGCTCCATACAGTAGAACTGTCTTGACATTTGTACTGAAAATCCTGATTTCGGTGCCGATTGATAATTGTTTGCAGTTATAGATAATGTTGTTGCAGAATAATTTTGCAGTTGCTTTGACGTCTGCTTTCACTGTCTCTGTTGGAATGTTGTCTGGTCCTGCTACTTTGCCGCTTTTGATTTGTCTGATTGCCATACTGATATCTTCAACTGTGGGTGGGCCAACATAGATTGGGAGTTCCAATAGGTTGATCATAATTTATCATGACAATTTAATTTACCATTTAATGTAGAAATTATTTGAACATTTATTTTCTAATTGAATACAATTTCTGATTTGGTAGGGTCGTCATTAGTAATAATAATTCAATATTAGTTTATCCTATATTCATTAGATGGTGAAAGCCGCCATCAGTGTGTTATTGAGTGTTAAAAAAATTTCCAACAATAAAATACGATACTATTAAACATCATGAATAACAGAGTATAGATGAAATCTATGCCATGAAGTGTATCAGCAATAGAATTCCATTGATCAAGTGCAATTTTATGGAGTTTACAAATCCGATTGACGTCATTTCATGTTGTAAAATGTGACTATGTTGTGTGTTTGTTATGATACGTCATGCACTTACAGTTATTAGATGATGACTAAAATCTAAACTTCATTACACAATTACTTCATTTTAGTCAAAAACTCCTCATTACTGAAACACCCACAAACCTACTACAGATTCGAACCGTTAATCATCAACAATCTCTGTGAGTGAACTAGATCCGAGAGTCTATATCTGAAACTTCGAACAAAATTAATCTCGCTACAATAGACGAGTTAATTGTGATAAACAATATCTTTAGAGTAAATCATATTCCATTGAAAATAATTAATCTGCTGATGTTTAAACTTTTTCCTTTTAACATAAATTTATCAGATCAGGTTCATACTATCTGTTTGTTTGTCGGCGTGCTATAACCTGTCTCTATTTTAATCGATAATATAGAGACCCCATATAAACTGATCAAATTGTCAGTGTGTTCACTATTCAGAAAACAAATCTAACTATCAAATGTGAAGATACTAAGGATTGGGGCAAAAATGATGACCTCTAAAAGCTAGCAAGAGTATGTGTGTGTGTGTGAGATAGATAAGGGAGTAATGTTACTCGTGTCGAAAAACATTCACCCGCATGTAATCATGTCATAAACTTTAGGCCTAGTTGTTATGACAACGAAACTGATAACAAATTTTAAAAATAAAATTTTTTTGTCATTTTTTCTTTTTTAAACTTTTACTAAATTAACTTGATATAATAATGATTTATTTTAAATAAAATTACAAATTTACCATGAATGTTTAGGGAATATGAAAATCCGAAAAAACAAAAAAGAAAACTGTACTATTAACTATTATTATTGCTAACACTATGTGTGTGTAAATAGAGTGAAAATGTTTTGTTTTGTTTTGTTTATATTGAGAATTTTCAAGAATAAAAAAAAATTAGTCAAGATAATTACCATTGTCATGATTGTGAAAGAGAGAATTCCATGTAAAATTTCAAATTCATTCATCTACACTCATTAATAATTTGCATGATTGCATTATTAGACCGAATGACAAAAATCATTAATTACAGTCATCATCATCATCATCATGATCTTCAATAGTCTTGAAAAATGTTTTCTAATTTTGTTTTTCAAAAAAAACAAACAAACAAAACAATAGAAATAGATTACAGGATTACAGGAAGATGAAAACTGATGAACAAACTATGTATATATATATATATATATATATATAGGTTCATATTATCATTTTTTCTTATTTTCTATAGAGAGAGAGAGAGATTAAATTTTATTTTTTACAATTGCGAAATATAAAAATAAGTGATGATATTTAAGAATATCATAGTGATATAGAGATATAAATAAAATTTTTAGTTAGAGTTTTGGAAATTTGTGTTTTTACACATTTCAAATCATCAATCAATCATTGTTAGACCACCATTAGAAACCTGGAAGCACTTGACGACCGTTTCGTCCTGGTATGGGACTCATCCGATGGTTAGGCGTTCGCGCACAATACCGAAGGTACCGGGTTGGAATCCTTTGGAATACAGGAGTCGTGGATGCGCGCTGCCACTGATGAGTCCTATACCAGGATGAAACGGCCGTCCAGCGCTTCCAGGTTTCGAATGGTGGTCTAATAATGATTGATTGATGATTTTAAATGTATAAATATAATTGTCTATTACTACAATCATGTGTTATATGAATAAAATGTGTTCATCAAGCAACAGTTTTCCTAAATCAAATGTTTTTTGAATGTTCATTGCATTCAGAAAATAACAAAACACGTAGCCTAATATCTATATACTCGTTGAATAAATGAGTGTTATTTGAATTCTGTTAACTTACTGTTTCATATTTTGATGATAACTAGAATTAAATTCGAATCTTATTTATAAAGATCGAAATTAAGATGTAATCGTGACATGCTTCGATTGATGCGTTTCATGCGAACTTGCATGAAACTGTTACTTATTTTAGATTTTTTTTTTCATTAGTAGCCAAATATCAGTAAGTATCATTTTGCAGAGAATAATTAATGAAGGGCCAGCTCAACTTAAATTGACTTACTTTTAGTCAATAAATGTATTAGTATTAGTATTTAGGAAAATTACATTGAATGAGTCAGTCCATTCATTCATTCAAAATACTACACATTTACTTATTTATCTCACTTAACTATCAATCGAACTTAATTTAAATAATCATGATAATCATCATTAAAATGAATG